GGCCTGTTCCTGACTTACTGTCCTAGTGCTTGTCAAGCTCCTTTTCGTGGGACCTCTCGGATAGCACGACTATCACATCTTCTGCCTGTCCCCTCTGAGACGGAGACTGTAGGCCCCCCACGGAATTCAGGATCCCATCTGCTGGTTCTCTCCTGTAGTCGTAGCAGCTAACTTACTTGTCTACAGTAGAATCTCAGTAAAAATGTGTCGAGTGAAGGAATGAATGAATTTCCAAAGAGACTGCATCCCGTAGCTTCCGTACTGGCTGTTGCCCTGTGCCTGCAGCACCTTCTCTAGCTTTCCTTAAGACTGGTTCCTTCTGTCCTTCACATCCCAGCTTCAGTCACCTTGAGGAGTCCCTCCCTGACCATTCAGCCAGAGCCGCCACCGAGCTCGCCTTCATTTCTTCCAGGGTCCATTTTCCAGCTCTAGAACCTTGGTTCTACAGAGGCGAGTGCCGTGTCTATTCTTGTTTTCTGCCGATTCTCCTTGCTCTGCGCTGCATCTGGCACAGAGCCCCTCCTCTTTGACATGGTGAGTGCATGAATAAACGGATGAATTATGAGCCAGGCGTCGGGGAAAAAGAACGTGGGCTTGAGTCTTCCCTGTGCACTTGCCAAGTGCATGACCTTGGGCTTCCCGATTTCCCCTAAACCTCTTTGAATCTCCGTATCCTCGTGCGTGAAATGGGACAAGGATTGTAACTTACTCCCTCCTACGATTAACGGGAGGTTTTGATCAGATACCGGATACAAAGCATTTGGTGTGCTACAGTGTGAGTGGTCAGTAAAAATAAGATACTGTCTATAACCCCAGGAGAGGTCTCTTGGTGCCTTGACTTTCACTGCCGTTAACCCCGCTTTGCCCTGCCATAGAGCCAGGTCGGTGAGAGGTCTCTCAGTTTGCAACAGCCTGGGAGTGGTGGGTTCTTCCTAAAGCCATTTGGAATCACTGGGGCATAGAAGCCCAGAAGTGCTGTCTGCATAGGGGGCACTCTCCCCCAGGACAATCATCTGCATAAAATAAACCTCTTGCGGGGCGCCTGGGTGGCGCAGTCGGTTAAGCGTCCGACTTCAACCAGGTCACGATCTCACGGTCCGTGAGTTCGAGCCCCGCGTCGGGCTCTGGGCTGATGGCTCAGAGCCTGGAGCCTGTTTCCGATTCTGTGTCTCCC